TGTGATGGCACCTTTAATAGGAGTATCAGTTCTCTGTCCTGTTCACTTTTTCATCTTCAGAGCTATGTATTGACCTAGATCCAATATTAAGAATTAAAATTACTTCCTTGAAGTAATCTTTTAGCAACTGACAGGCTTTTTTTAGAATTTTCTGTACAGTAAAGCAGTCAAACTGTGCTATACAATACTGAATCATATATTCTAACTAATTATGTAGCTAACTTGTAACATTTCACAAGAGAGGTCTTGTAGTAATGATTTGGTTATCATTACATCTCATGAAGGCAAGAATTTACTTGATTGTGTGATTTGGGACTGCTAACATTTGCCTGAAAAGGAGTCAAGTTTGGAAAGTTAGTAAATAAGCTGTTTGGAGCACAGGTCAGAACAGTTATTTCATGCTTAATAAAAAAGTTCGTATCATTTAGTGTAGTAACAAGCATGTATTTTAGGGTTTGTCTGGGATGACAAATGATCATCAGATTTTAATTTTTTTATCTACTTTGTGCTAATAGTGTTAAATCTAGAAAAAATCTGGAGATCATAAAAAAAGGTACTTCTACAAGTCTTTAAAAGAACAATTAACTTATACTGTAATAGTAACTAGGTTAACAAGTTGACTTTCAATTTGGTAAAGCTTTTAGTATAAAAAAAAGCCTTTAAACTCCAATATAATGTCTGAGTATAAAAAAAAAAATTATTTAAAGTAGTTAGTGCCAAAGCTACAGGAAGGCAACTGTAAGAATACACTGACTGACAGCTCAGAAAGTTAACATATTGTGCTTGGATAACATGTATACGTTGCTGCTAGAACTGTCATCTAGTTTTCTTGTTAAATGTGTAGCTTGTGATACAAAGTACTTACTGTCCTGCATATATGGAATGACTCATGCAGTAACCTGGATTTGTTTGGCTGAGGTGTAATAGAAGAATTGGTCTGAATTTACTATTTGCATCCTAAAAGTTTCGGGTCGGTAAAACTTGCAGTGCAGTACATTTTCTGGCAAACTCAAATATGCTATAGTGTTTTAGAAACATTTAGTCAGTTTAGTCTAGCTTTTTGCTAGATCACTGGTAATGTAGAACTTGTTGTGGTAAGAGTGTATTGTCTTACTGGTACAGCTTGTTTTCCAGATAAAATTACAATTTAGTAGCTCCAATATAAAAACTGAGATCTGGAATGTTACATTGTCAGAATGTTGTCATTAACTTGACTTTGTAGCTGGGACAGAACTTTTCAAACTCTACTTGTGATCTCTTATGTCTTCTTTTTAATTTTTCTAGGCTGCCGAATATGTCCCAGAAAAAGTGAAGAAAGCTGAAAAGAAACTAGAAGAAAATCCATATGACCTTGACGCTTGGAGCATTCTCATTCGAGAGGCACAGGTTTAGTGACATAGGATTACATTTCCTTATCTATGGTCCACTCACACTATTTGGTTCTGGAGTAAAACCAGCATATTCATTTACATAAATCATAATATTGTAAATGCTGTTTTGATTTTCAATTTTTAGAATCAACCTATAGACAAAGCACGGAAGACCTATGAACGCCTTGTTGCCCAGTTCCCCAGTTCTGGCAGATTCTGGAAACTGTACATTGAAGCAGAGGTTAATATTTTTACATTTTTTTCTTATATAACATTTAATAGGAATTTAAGTTTACTTTCGTAAGCATAAATAAGATAGGCACGTAATATCTAGGGAAAAGGGGATTTTAAATATGCCTTGCCTTTATTTTGTAAAATAGGTACAAAGGAGTGATTAAAATGAATTCTAAAGTTTTGGGTCTTTTATGAGTTGATGATTGTTGCATTATGGAATTGCAACAACATTAAAACCGTTTCAATGGTATTGGAGTGCTTTAGCCTTTTATTTACTTGTCGTGTCAATTTATTGCCTCCTGTGTCATTTATTTAGAGGACTTTTTTTTTTTATTTATACGTACAAACTTATTTGAATGACTTTCTGTGAACGTTTGGATCTTTTAATTTTTTTGCTTTCTTAGGGAATTGTTTCTGTGAACAGTGTTTTCAGGGAGGGTGTGGGATGGAAGCTGATTTCTGGAATACAAATGCTGGGAAAATGCATTAGCACAACTCATTAGCTTCTAAAAATCCCAATACAATTGTGATTGTTTACATAACTATATAAAACTTCCCACAAAGTGCATTGATCATTTAAACAGTCTTTAATGACATGCCATGAAATGCACTGTATAGTTGGATTTTTTTTTAATAATAAATAATAATTCTGTAGCTGATAATTAATACTAATACACATGTTTTTTGTGGGCATCTTCTCACTGCACATTTTTCTTAAGACAGATCTTCTACATGCTAAACTACAGGGGTGGGGACCTGTGTTCTGTAGATGAGAAATGAGATAAATTTTTTTCCATTTTACATGAAAATTGCTAAGCAGCAATCTGAGTGGCAAAACTGCATTGTATAGTTATATCTTATTTTACGTTAGACTACGTATTCAAATGTGTTCTGGCAGTAAATTTGGAAGATTCTTAAATAAAATCAGGATCATGCAAATATAACAAAAATTTTTATATTGCAGTTTATAGTAAGGTGTTATACTGCAAAATAGTGCAACCTAAATTTAATATTACCTAATTAAATATTGTTGAATTTTCACTATTTTGTTTCCAGTAGTTTGTAGTAGTAGTTGGAATGTTGGCGATTGGACATTTTGGGAGATTGTGAATGCACTAACACATACAGATGTGTATTTTACCTTTTGGGACCCTACAGCCAAATCCATTAGCCTCTTGTACCCTCCAATATTTGCTACAGGATCTAGTGTTTAAAATCTAATCTAGTTTGATGATTACATTATCTGATTTCTGTGCTTATTTAAAACCTTTATTTTTCCCATGCGTGAAATTTCAAGTTGAATAAGACCACCTCAGAAAACCTGTACTACATTGTAGATCTTTAATCAGAAAGTACCATTATGAGTGTAAAGCTTCTTGTCTGAGGCTGCTTGTCTTGAACCATGTTCAGAGATGAATTGACAGACATTACTAATTTATAATTTAGTAGTATTTAGAGACACTAACAGTGGCAAAGCTTAAAACAGTTTAGGGTATAATCTCTTACGTGCTTCTTCAAGGAAGGAAGATCATCTTCTACCCAGCAGGTATGGTAACCAGGTAACACAAGGTAAATTTGAGAAGGAAAGAACTGGCGTAAAGATCACTTCGCTCCTTTGTATGTGCGTGTGTCTGCCTATAACTACACTTCAAATATAAGAGAAATAGAATATGGATTCTGTTATTCAAAACAATGGAAAAACGTGAACTGTAGAGTTCTGGTAGACATTACAGAAGATGTTGAGAGGGGTTGTATTTGAAAGAAAAATAAGAGGTTACCTTTTAGAAATTTATCTTTAATCTTAATAGGCAAATTTTTAAAATCCCAATTCTGACTTACATTTTCAACTTTTCTTTCCTCGTTCCAGTAACTTCTCTCAAAACTCACATAGCGACTGATTTAACTAAAAAGCAACATGCTTATCTCTGCCTTTTTTTATTATATGTAACCATTTAGTAGCTATAAGCTGAAATAACTTTTTATTCCCAAATTCCTCTCTGAAAAATACATATTCACACAATTGGGCACTGTTAGTGTTGTTTTAAGTTGCATATCATATGTACAGTCCCATCTGAGAGTAAATTAAAAATGAAATGTTTTCTCAAATGTTCTTTTAACAGCATAGTTGAATATAAATTAAAACTTAAATTAATTTTTGAAGGCTACCTGAGATAGAAGAGTTGTTTTGAGGCTTCTTTTATTGCAGCCTTAAGATGTACAAGGCACGTAGGGAAGGTATATTCCAAGAGCTTTTTTCCTTGGAAATCTTAATAGTCTCCTCCTGCTAGAAAGTTTCTCTTGGGCACTTCAGAAGTATAGATCTTTCCAGCCTTGAGTTGGGAAAGTAAACCTGTGGTAAATCTTTGTTTAGCGTTGCTTTTGATTCACTTTCAATTCCTCAGTATTTAAATCTGAAAATTGCTAAGTCTTCAGTCATCTGTAAGCTGCGTTATTCCTGATGTCAAAACAAGCATATGACTTTCCTCTTTACCATGATAACATTTCCTCTTTGCATCACAGAAAGAAAAAAAGGGAGAGGAAAGTGGGAGTTGTTTTCTTGCAGGTTGTCTTTCACTAGAAAATTTTGTCCTCTGAACAACATAAAAATCTCATAAATCATTACATAGTGGTGGTCTGTTATTGGGAGATGAGCTAGGGTGAGGTTTATGATCGTGGCCTTACAAAAAAGGAATTAGCCCTTTAACATTTGTGTTCTTTATAAAATTATTAGAAATCTTTAAATTTCCCTTTGCCTAACTTGAGGAACGTTCTTTTTAGTCACTTCCCAATCTTCAAGTAGAAATCATTGCTTATAATCTACATGAACAAAAACTGTTTCCTTGCATATGCCAGTTCATTTTGTAATGTAAAACTTCTAAGTGCAGGCCTTACTGCTGTGATTGCCTCTTGTTTTTATGACAGTGTTTGTTCAGCTCACTGTCTCCATTTTCGTTTTTGTGTATGACTTTGTTCCCTAGCAGAATATAGTGTAAAGCAGCGCTCAGCACTTAGTGTATCATTTAACTTACTGCTATTGATATACAGACTGTGCTGAAGTAACTGAATACTTCATGTGTCCATTTTATGTGCCAAGCACCAATTCACATGCTCTGGTCTCTCTATTATGACTGGTTTGGTAGTCGGTAGAACACGGAGATTAACTGGGCAGAGCGTGCTTTGACAGTTTGTTAATGGGAGCTCTACTATTAAAGTTTGAACTGGTCAAAAAATTTTGATTCTCGCACTGGTTCTTATTTCTTCTGATGTTCAGAGAAGCAGTTGCAAGACATAGGAATAATAGAATTGGATGAAACAACTCCCAGCTCACAACATTTTTGGGTCATAGCATTTGAGTGCTTAAGACTCATGAGAACACTGTTTCACTTAGTGAATTTGACAGACTATGTAGTTATTTTTCGTAGGTATTTTGGCAAGTAAAATAGTTAACTTGCTATTCTGCATCTATTGAAATTTAGGAAATGGTTCAATAATGCCACTCTTCTTACTCAGGCTCTTGTTTTCCCTAGTTGCTTAAAGCATATTTTTCTCTTGATACCTTTCCCGTAAAAATCTACTTCCAGAAAACTCGAATCAATTCACCTGTCAGTGCCTCTTGCACAGTTTTAAAGGAGCATGTAAGTCTCAGTCCCACATGTGCCATAATGTTAAATTCATAGATCACATGATCTGGATTCTAGCCTGCTCTGCTGGTTTGCTGTGTCATCTTGGGTAAGTTATTTAACCTGTTTTGCCATTATTAAAACAGATACCTACCTACCTCACAGGGTTGTTGTGAGGCTCGCTTTAGTGATTGAAGTGCTTTGGGCATCTGGCTAAAAGGTGCTACAGAAATGTAAAAATAAATTCTGATGTAATACACTCTATGATCCCATAGGCCCAGCTGTCTATTACTATTTCCTTTGTCTCTTCGACTGTTTGAACCATCTTTTAGATTACAGAAAGACTTGATAATGCTTTTCATGCACTTGAAAGAACTTACTTTACCGATGTTGTAAATACTTTGGTAGTTCTGAAGCAAGCATTTGAAGTCACCTTTTTCTCTGCTAGTTTCCTTTGAGAAATCACCAGGTTGGAAATCCTCTTAAGCACATTTATTAAACTATGTTCATGTATTTGCAACTTTTTTTTAATGATCTAAAGAATTTTTAGCTCTGGTTGCTCTAAGTGGAAACTTTAATCTGTAATTGTCCTGAATGTTTCAGGCCAGTTCACACCACACTTTTTTACCATTTCCGTTGCTGAGTATTTTGCATTATATCCTGGTCACTTTGAACTGTTGTTAGTAGGGGTTGAAAGGTTGCCATCATTAAAGATTTAAAAATCGTAAGCACAAGACAGTTGTGACAAATACCCCAAGTCTAGAAAAAATAAATACAAAGCTAGTAACATGCGTGTAAAGTGTTTGGCTGTTAATATGTATTTTTCGTCTTGCGAATTTTGCAAGTAAGACTCCTGTGTTACTGCTTGTTCTAAAGAAATGCAACTAGATATATTTGTTCAGATAACTTCTATTTGATATGAACACTTTGAATTTTAGATGTCTCAGTAACAAACCAGATGCTGTTTGAGGTTTTAGAGGGTGGGATGAAAGCTTAGGGTTGATTGTTTTGCATTTCATCATATGCAATACATCAGTATCTTTAATTCATGTAATTCACACTGGTGTGGATGCTAGTCAGAATGTATCATTTGAAGTTCTTGTATATGAAAAATGTAAATAAAACCATTTAGAAAAATGATTGTTTTTGTTTAAAATGTTTGTGTTTCTTCAAAGCATTTTCTTCCCCTGTTTTATTTTAATCTGGTTCTGAGTTCAGAAAACAATTGTTATACGTACCACCAATATTCTTCTGCTTGGGGAAAAATGGGAACTGACTTCTGTCAGGATGAAGTCGGACTGATGAGAAGTCAAAGTAGAATAGACTTCTTGGCTGAGATTCTGTTTAGCGGTACTTTCAACTGAAAATATTATATATCTCACTAGCT